TTAATTTTTTAGCTGATATGCTGAATTACTTTAAATGTAAAACTTCTGATCTTAGGAGTTATTTTAAAAATAAATATTAACATAAAAATACAATAATCTTTAAATAAAATCTTTCTTTAGAATCAATAGGTAAAAATCATCAGAACCATAATAAGATTCTACTTCTTAATTTTGTTTTTTCTGGGTAGAATCTATCTTAAAATTGAGTTCTAAAATCATAGTTTAACTCTATCTTATTTCAAAATAATCTTTATCATAAAGAATATATAAAAACTCTACCAACCATATTAAACGTTGATCCAATTTATAAGCTTATTATCATAAACTTCTTGGAACTTACTGGAAGCTCTAGTGATTAGCCTAAGAACCAAAAACTAAAGAAATTCACTCTTCTCTGTAGTTTTTCATTATTTAATGCCCAATCGAATATATTTCATCCCTTATTAGCACTATTCATCCACCCTATGAAGCCATAGTTTTAATCAAATTCTTACTCTTATTGAAAATACTCTACATGATAGATTAAAAATCTTAAAGAAATCATTATTTAGCACTTTCTTCTCCTATTTTTGTTTTATATATATGTATAATCACATAAAAAACTCGTATGAATAAGGGCATTGACTACAATTGATTGGATTGGTAAAAGTTATCGTAATTAATTGGCTGGAGATACCAAACTATCCAAAAGTTTGAAGTATGGTCTAAAAAAATAAATATTAATGCACGTTTCTCAACTTTTCTTATTGTATTTGAAATTAATGGCATTATCCAAATAAGTATTTTATTTGTATTCTTATTGTGTACAATAACTTATCTATTGAGTCAGCAACAAGTACATCTAGAGTTACGATTATAATAATCTATACACTACTGTTTAAGAGTCTTATATCATTTTCCCATACGACATATATAATATTAGTAATATATACAGATAAAGATAGTGTCCCACATCTAAATCTTGAGTAAAGACATGATCAAGATCAGATTTTAGTAGTAATTTAATTTAAAAATAATTATATACCTTTGGCTATAACTGAAACAATTTTTTTAAACCTCTTTTAAATTTTAATAATAATTTCTCCTATCGTTTTATGTTTGTTTATTTAAATATAATTTTAAAAAATGCTTTATTAATAAATATTTATTATCAATGATATTAAAATGAGTTTATAAATTCTAAAAAAAAATTAATATCTTCATTATATAAATGACACATCATCATAAAGCACATGATATTGCAAAAAAGTTGCAGCTGACAGGTTGAATGCAGAATCAGTTACAAATAATTAAAACATGACTCCAAAAATTGATTATAGAAGAATCGTAGATGTGGATTACCGACTTATTTTTTGTCAATGTTATATTCCCTGTATATGCAGAAATTGTTGAACAAGTGAAAAACAGGTTCAAAATTTTAATGGCAATATCTGACAAATGAATTTCCTGGAAGAACTTTCAATTGATCAGGAGTTACTATTAATAAAGGTTCTCCTTTTTTGGCTGAAAAATTCTTAGAAATTCAAGCATAATTTGTTAATCCATACTCTATAGTCTATCCTAAAGTAATGATTCAAAAAAGTGCAAGTAAATCAAAAAAATAAGATCGCAAGATTATACATCTAAAATTTTGGTTAAATTGTACATTAAGGTACGAAAAAGGATTGCGAGTTTTGGTAATTTTAACAGATACGTAAGAATATTCTGATTTTTTAAGAGAAATATCTGCGGTTTGAGAAGAATTTCCAGAAAGACCTTCTTCCTCTGGTTATATGTATACAGCTCTTTCAACAATTTATGAATGAGCAAGGCAGTGTGTAAGGTAAGAATGGGTAATCACTTACATTCCTATTTTGATTATGCCTAATGATGATATTAACCATTCCAGATCTTATAGGATATATTACAAAAAGATAAATTTTTATAGATAGATAATCAAATAATAAATAAGTATATCTACCTATCAATTTCTTGCCCTTATATGATGTATTTAAATTGATGAAATCCAAATTTGGTAAGGATATGACATAAGAATATCATCCTAAAGTAATATTATATGCTATTTATGCCCTGAGTAAGGATACAGCATATATGAAAGTAGTTGAATAGCCTTGTACTAGGAGGTTAGATCAATTTTAAAATCCTTATCTTTACCTGGGGTTTGTTACAAATTAAACAAAGTAATAATATATCATAAACTAAATAGATTAAAAAATCGAGAAACCTATATAGAAGAAAGGAAAATGAAGATAACTTTGATAGACCTTAATATATAATATATAGTCATATAAAATAAAATCAATTTAATTTAGATAAAAAATTTTAAAAATAATTTTATTAATATTTAACAATTGCAATTTAACATAAATTCTTAAAATCTAAATAAGTTATAATAAAATCACTATGAATACTTTATCAAAAGAAAAAACTATAATATTTATAATAATAAACCAGTTGATTAGTTGTAGATATCCTTTATTATGTAAGAGTAAT